TTTTAATAACGGAACTCAAGCCAGTCCGTTTATGTTTTGCTACATATAAATATGTGAAGTATTTTTTTTTTACAAATTATAAAACCTTTCCTAATGTTTCGGGATGCATGGATCAAAGTCGTTATTCTTAAGGATCCTTCAAGCAGCAAACGAATGCCTACTTAGTTACTTTCTTGTAAACATCGCGTTTAGTTTCGACAGTATTTTGTATGCAAATAACGTACGTGATTATAGCACTGAAAAGAGTTTGACAATGGCTATAAGACTCTTGAGGTGTCCTTATATCCTATAACGGCACGCAAAAGGTATTGTATAAGGCTATTTCGTTTCGTTGGTCAGAGTTAAATTGTTAATTAAAGACTTTCATATACTGATACATGTGTATGGTATACCATTAGAATTAATAGTAGTAGCGGGAGTTCCAAGTTAATTTTATTCAGTATCCCGTGAAGTAAGCATAATTTAGCTAATTTATTACCAAGCGCACTCTTTAAATAATAGTCTGTGACATTTAATCACAAATAATAAAAATCTCGTAAGAACGTTAGGGTTACCTATCGCCTAATTCCGGCATATTCCTAAGGATTTTATTAATAGTGTCCTGATATTGAGCTATACTTCGATTTGTATTATTATTTTAATTCGATATATCTTACACTATTTTTTAAAATTCTATTCCTATCAATGCTACCATGACATGCCGGCTGCGATATGTTTGCGATGTCTATAAACTTTAAAATAATAAATTTTAAAATAAGATTAACATTAGGTTATGACTTATGAGCAAGACAATAACGGATCTCCATATAATTCGTCTATTCTCTGGTTTCTCTTCTTGAATCAGTGTTTAGATTCTTCTCCTGCAGCTACAGTTGTCCGTAGGTTCAGGATACTAGCGATGAACTAACAGTCCATATTCTAGTATACTGTAGAGTTCTAGTATTCTGGTAGGAACCAGTTACTTTGGCATCAGACGGAAGGCCGAATGAAAACCTTAAACCTTAAAATCCAACGTAATGTACGACGTACTCAATGCAAACTTGTACAGTGTATGATGGTTGATAAAATTATGAAATTTTATTCGTAAGTCTCATTTAGTGTTCCCATCAATGAGTATCATTTTTCGGTTTAAGTTTTTACTAGTTTAACACACTTGAGAAACAAATCTCCACTCCTGGGTGTCAATAAATTATACTTAAATTAATTTATATACAGAAAACATTATCAGCTATTTCTATATGAACGAGTTAATGTATATCACTACTAAATATCAACAAATTATTACGTTCGAAACAGTTAACCCTGTGTCTGAAACATTTATTTGGAAAAACCTATTTAAATTGTTTCAAATTAAATTAATTTCAAGAGCAGGGACATAAATTAATTCAGTGTGAAGTACCTTATTTCTATTTACTTAGCCAAATGCGAGAATCCTTTTATCTTCGCTTTACGGAATCCAAATTCTATAATTTGCTTTTGACGTTAAATCAAAACAGCAAAGTAGTTGAACCGAGGAGCGAGTACATTGTGAAATTCTGTCATTGTCAGGATTAAGAATGGCGCAGATTTTAGCATGGATACTAGTTTAACAGACGTAGTTCTTAGAAAATGTTGTTGAAAATATTTAATTCTGATCCTATTTAGGACATTATGAACAAAATTAATATTTCTTTCTTGTGCTACGATAGTCGCAAATTCCCATTAGTGTAGTCTACTCATCTGCTCCTAAAGCAATAAAAATATACACATGTTGTCATAATTCATTTTTATTTTAATTTATGTTAAAGTTGCGACTTTTTCAATTATTTACGTATAGTATATATTTAACATTGAAAGTATACCTATAGCTAATTTTATAGTATAACAATTTATCTATTAATTTCTGAATGTGTCAGCCTTCATCTATAGTTATCGGTTGAATAATATAAAACACATTACTTAATGCTGAAATAATAAATACAAAAGTTCTTCGTGTTGAATCTAAAATTAAAAAGATTCTGAAACAATTATACGGAGTAGCAAAACGTTGTACCGTAAGTGGCAGCAACTGCAATTTCTAATTAATATTAAAATCCAATTTAGTCGTTACATCTTGGAGTCTAATTTAGTTTATCTCAGATTCCCCTTCACGCTTACACTGAAACCATCGGTTTAGATTTTTTGCTGACTGTTTCGTTTCGAATTATACCATTCCGGTAAATGTAATTCGTTTGTTTCACTTAATTTTTATTTTCACTCTGACTACCGTTAATTAAAAGTATATATTTCTACATACATATATCCAATTTTGTATTGAATACATTTTTCACTTAAAAAGGTAATTGGATATCAAACAATTGGATTCAAAAATGTAAAATGATCGGCTTTTCCTTAATGATCCACGTTATAAATGTCACTCAGATATTGAGATGTCTTACAAATTATAAAAGCCATTAGCGTATGAAAATGATTTATTATTTAAGCTACTTGCCCGAGCGGACTGAAATCTTACTTCAGATTTGGGGCTGATTGATTTCTATCATTTTACCATTTTATATTCCGTCACTTGGAAATTGAATTACCGTTCATATTTCATTATAATCCACAATGAGTACAGAGATTGTTCAATTTAAAAGAATTTAATCAAGAAAAATTCTTCCTCTCCTATACACAGTACAGAATGTCTTATAACCATAAGGCATAAAACATTAAAAAGGCCCTTTAAAAGATATCAATGAAAATACGAGTAGATGAATAATCGCTGTTTTATTTATCGTTACAAAAATATTAAATATTTCATATATAAATCCGTATCCCCATAGGGTTACCGTTACCGTTAGCAATTAAATTTACATTTTGGTTTGCGGTTCAAAATATTCGGCCATCCGTATATTGGCTTATAACATGAAAATCAAAGTTAACAAGGGCTGTTTAAAAACATATTTCATGTGTGTCGTTAGCCCTAACTTAGATAAGAGGGCATAGATCATTAACTGAAATATATGTTATGTATATAATCCTATGTTTCAACATGTCTTCTCATGTCAGCATCTTTTGATACTTACAAAACCATACAAACGACATCAAATTAGAAGTGCGGCTATTGACCACACCAGGGGTAAGTTAATATGTTAAAGTATACGTTAATCTAAATGAAGTAGCCACATTGTATTTCATCTTCCTCTATTTTAATACTGCACTTTAAAAGTGTTTGTACATCCAACTCATGACAACAAGTAATGTCACAAAGGCCAAGGCCACTGGCAATATTTGCAATAGATCAATGTGACGGCAAATAGAGTCCATTTTATTCGCCATGACAAATTTCCTTATCTTCCATTAACGATGTGGCATACGATAAGAAATAGCAGCACAAGAATCACTATAGAGCCCATTATTATCAACAATTGATTTAAATTAAATGAGAGACTGCAAGTTGTCTGATCTGATACTTTTCTGGCCATATCGGACTTTAAATAATTATAGTACTAACGTACGTTTTTGTCATTTTTCCATGTTATTTTTTACATCTTGTCCAAGAATTTTTTAAATGATTTTCGTGAATTTTTAGTTACGATGACATTTTTCTAGGTTTTGACAATTGCACGTCAGTTTAGAGACGTCACAGTTTATCTACTTAACTTAAAGTAGGTTCAAACTATTTTTTCATTGTGACCTATTTATATACTTAAAAGGTAATTTATTAATTTTAAAAGGATTTCTAGATATGTATATTGAATAGAATTTATTTCAAATTTTATTTGAAAGCAATTGAAGAAAAATAATACTCGTAGAAAAATATATTTTAATAGAAAAAATTGTTTTGAATTTGTTCAGTATATATTTATGTATAAAAATGTTAAATAGAAGGTAAGCGTTCTAAATTATTTAATATTTTTAAATAAGGCTTACAAAATTTTCATTAAACTATTTTTTCCAAAGATCAGGCCGTTAACTTTTCTCTCCTGAAAAATAAATAAATATGCATGTAGTGTTCTGAATATAATTTAAATAAATGATTTTATATAGAAAATAGTATATATGTATAAAGAATATGTACATAACTACATGTATATTACAAACTCACTGTTATTTTTAACAGCACTTTTCGTTTTTCTTTAAAACCTTAAACCCTTCACACCAAAAACAAATTCCTAGACCCGAAGCATGTTAATTATTATTCTTTTCTTATTTTTAATAAAATCTCTCAGGGTGCTATTTTTTGGATTCCTTCCGCAGTTTTGTCAACCAGCCCTTCTTTTCTTTGCTTGTTACTGTTGAAAGAAAGTTATAAAGAAATTTCGCTAAGCCTGCCTTTCTTTTTTAAACCATATTTACATAGTTAAGGAATATCCATCCATTATATTTCCAGCTATAAGACTATTCTTTCCTCAATAGTCTACGAATAATTTGAAAGAAATTTAAAAAAATCTAGATATCCATAAAAAGAAATCGAATTAATATTTTTTTTGACATAATGCATAATTATGTTTCATATTCTTTCTGGGATTCTGGGAACTATTATATTATTTGTTTTATTTCTAGCTAGAAACAACATCGTCTTGAATGCAAAATATGTTCGATAGTTAGGTCACTTATTTTCCGAAAAAGATAAGGATATGTCTAGTAAGTTTATACATATATATTTTTTTACCAACACCAGTTATGAAAGCGTCATTAATAAAAGACACGGTTTTTTTGTATCTACTTTAATTTTAAATACCATGTTACATTCCCCACCGTTGCCGGTTAAGCTTAAAATTAAATTAATTATATTAACCGTCATACTAAATCTACCTTTAATAAACACTAAATGCAAAATGTATAGTATTTAAAGATTCCACAAGAGTAAAATTATCTTAATATTATTTTTTGTTTTTGTATAAGGAAGGACTGCATATAGGTATATTAATTGCCATTTCGAGTAATCATCACTATATAGATTCTTTGGCAACGATAAGCATGCAAATTATAAAGAAAGCTGCTCTACATATTAGTGCAATACCCGCGACTTAAAAGAATTATTCTTTTTTGTACTTTTTCAGCGCCTTCCTGCGGGTATTTTCCATGCTGCGGGTCACCAACCACACACTGAAACGCGGTGCGAAACTGTGGATAGAATTAACCACATAGAAGAAGAGAGTGTGGGGGAAATATCCTGTCGTGTTAGAGGTTGTTCCGACTAAGCTGATGGCGGACTTGACAAATGCCTTCGCTGTTGGTGCTATCAGAGTGCTTCGGCGTATTCCAGACATATTGGAGCAAACGAAACCGGGTAGAACACATTGCACGATAATGCCTCTCTTGCTATACTCCATCTCGAGACCTTCAGAGAATTTCTCAACATAAGCCTGAAAGAAAGGGTTTAGAAAGTTATTACTTAATATGAATATGTACCTTGAAGGCGGTGAAAGATGGGTACAAAGGCCTACCTTAGTAGAAGCGTATACGGTGAGAAGGGGGCTGGGTATTATCGATGAACCGGATCCAATATTGATGACCACCCCCTTGCCACGCTCTACCATACCAGGCATCACGATACGAGTCATACGAGTTACAGAGACAACGTTAGCTTTTATCATCGTATTTATATTCTTCTCCCTGATAAAGAAAATTTTTGACTACATTCACAAAATAGATTTATTCCATATACATTTCACAGACAAAAAATAATTAATAAAATCCAAAACTGATGATTATTTGTTATTTTATCGAAAGCATATATACGATAACATTCTATGTATAACGAAAAATGTCATTAGTAGTAATGTATACTAGGTACGATATCAAAATTGATCTTCAATAACACGACGGATGTGATTCACACAACACCTACGATTTATCTCTACAGGTTTACACAGCTCGGAACCTATAATACCAACCAAATAACGACATCGTTCACGTGAGAGCTCATTTACTGAACAATTGCAGGGTTTGTCAAAATACACGTCTTTGCTACGGATATTGATGTACACGGTATTTCAATTGAAGCACTTATAACAGAGACCACCTGCCTCCAGCAAATCGATTCGGGAGTGCAATAAAAGCGGACGTTTCGTTATTTATTGAAACCTTTTTGTATAAAATATTTATACTTATTTTTGATAAAAAAAAATTCTATATCACTCTGTCATAAATGTTTAATTTAATTTATTATATTTTAATGTTGTCTCAAACTCAATAGTTCAGCTTATGCGTGAAGTAAAACATATGTATATACATTTAACCCAAGTCGCATACAATTCAATTATAAATTTATTTACGACTAGATTATTTTGCGACATTATCTGTACGGGATTACTTCGCAAGCTTTTCCCTAATTACAGATAAATGATATTTAGTTTACTCAAGTTATTAGTTATCTCGCTCAAAGCTTTATCCTTAAGGAGTTTGTTTGGTTGTAGTAACACATGTCCGTGAAACGAGAGGGATCCATCTAGATTCGCTTTCAGTTAAGGCCTTTGAGAGTGAAGCTGGATTCTATTTAAGTAGAGATCTAGATGTGAGATATAATATTTCAAACGGAATTTTTACTAAAGCTGTGTGTCCTATATGTTTAAAGTAAATTAAGAGATTTTAAGGAGGATATAAAATTTAGAATAACGATGTTAATGTATAAAGTTGTTGAGTTTTATATGTCGGCTTCAGTTTTATGAAATATGTTCTATGCAAGTATATCGCTATGAAAGAAGTTATTGAACCGCTAAATTAAAATAGTTTTGTCCATACAGGACTGTGATGAAAAAGGAAAAAAAATTGATAAGAATATCTCGTTACGACAGTGAAATTGCCAAAAATATCATTTCCGTAGTTTGTAGATGAGCGAAAACAAACTAATATAGATACCAAAAAAGGTATTTTGTGTTCTAGAGAAATTACTTTATCATTATGTCTTTTTATGATTTATTTACTAAGTGTTCGTAGGCCTGAATACAAAAACGACAACTAAAATTGAATAAAGAAATAGATTTAAAAGAAATACCTTAAAAATACACATCCAATATGCATTTGGTGTCTTTGATCGAATTACAACATTGAGAATACAAAAGCAAACTATTATAACTCAATCCTAATATTTCAAGCCGTGTTGTAAGCTGATTGAAAAATATTTTATACTTTATGAAAGTACAAAAAATATTACAAAAAACTTACTTATTTAATATGAAAATCTGTTCAGCTTTTCTGTTAAAAACTGGCAACACGAATGTAAAATTTAAGCGTACATTTTATTAATAGAATTAAAGGAAAAGCTATATTTCACGCGATATATTGTTAAATATTTTTAACTCAATAACATCGATGATAAAGTTTTACACAGATTTTTAAGGCATCTGCGAACTGTTTTAGGAATACTACATCATTTCTAAGGCACATTAAAACCACGTAATCATTACAAGTACTATGACGTTAAAGTATTGCGTCTCAATGTAATTTCTAACCAGGAAATATGAATTTTATAAAAAAGAGAATGTATTAACTCTAATGCACATAAATGTAAATATAGTATAAGTATGTATTTGTATTCGGAAAATTGTTAAAGTTCTATACAGTATATCGCTCGGTAAGATGAGAAAATTATTTTCATTAAATAAACAAACGGCCTCGCTAAACAACTTGTTACCAACATAGCTGTGTGCGTAATTCACGATAAGCAACATAATAGACCTTTGTCTTTAAAAATTGATGAATAAAATTTTAATTTATAATTCATTATAATTTCTATATAAAAAATATACATGACATGTCACGTTTTAATTGTACGACTTTTGACGACGGACGTGACATTTTTACGTTTTTAATGAAAGTACGCTCAAGAATTCTATCAACATCCACAATAGATTAATAAAAAAAAGTGCCAATAAAATAAACGCTTTATTTCTTCAGACATTTGATTTTTTCGTTAGGTATATACTCGAAACAAAGAATTAAATTAATTTATTTAGAGAAAAATCCCATGTTATTAATCTTATATTATGGATGTTTGTGTGTCTTTTACGCAAAAGATACTAAACCGATATTGATGAAACTTTATAGTAATGTATTTTAAATGTCAAAATAAGTCATAATCAGAAATAATTTCTCCCGAATTTTCCCGTACTTCAAGCGGGATCAAAAAATAAAAGTTGTAAAGACGCATAAAATTACGAATATAAATATATGGGTTACCGTGTGACATATCTATTGTTTTTTTATACTTTAAACATTTGATTCTGAAACTAATTTCGAACTCCACGCGGAGGACATTGAGCTTAAAAACTAGTAATTAGTTATATAGTGTATGCTTTAAATGTATTTCTATATTTAAGAGAGGTCAGGATAAAAGGAGAAATTTAATTACGTCCCATCTATTTTAAGTTATGCGTCTTTAAGAACCATTTCCCGATTACCATCTTCAGGCAACTTGGGCCGAAACAAGTCTTATATAATGTGAATGTCACCCTAGTTATTCCTCTTGTAATATTTTTAAGTTCAAGCATTGCCGCCGCAAGCTAACTTTTCAGATAGAATATCGATTCCAAAGAAAGTAATAAAATTAGCAGAAAAATATTAATTTTCATAAATTATAGTGATCTAGACGAGAGCAATAGATTGATTTTGACAAATATTTTTCATAATAAAGAATGTTATAATATACCTTTGCAGATCTTATTAGTGTTTTCATTTAATTTTGTGTGAATGTAAATGTATAAGTGTCTCTGTGTGTGTGATTGTGTATGTGTCAACGTGTGTCTTTGGCATTACTTGTGCGTGCGGGTGGGTGTGTGTATTTGTGTATTTGTTACAATTCATTTTAATCGATACCTTTTATACAAAGCACTCAGTTATATCAATGTTATTCCGATCTAGGTCCTCCAATAGGTTTTATTGCTTCATTATTTTTCAAACATACATTCTCGTATATACATTATAATAAATCAGTGATGTGAAAATCTTATATCCAATCATTTGTTATTGAAGTATCAATTTTATCAATATATTCATTCGAATTACTTATTTGAAAATTTGTCATTCATGTATAATTTCGTATACTTGATTATGGAATAAATTACTTAAGGGTACTTTTGGCATGTATTCCTGAACGTTTTAATATGTGTTATGAATAATTTAATTTTCTTTATGTACAGTCGATAATATATTCATAACTTGAGAGAAATTTTTAAACACGTATTAACATATAGAGTGGTAAGAACCATAGTCTTTAAATCAATTTAAAGACAATCCATGTAACCGTGATATCTGTTACTACAAATACATCAAGTTAATCTCTTACCAATCGGCGATTTCCAGGAAATATTCTGGATATTTATAGGAGACGCCCACATTGTTCACCAGAGTACCAATCTCAAGGTCGGCAACCTCCTTTGAGATCATTTCATATATATCAGCGTCGCTGAAGTCAGCAAGAACGATCCTCGTTTCCACTTTGAAGTCTTTTTCTGGAAATTATATTAATTTGAATTCTACGTCATGTTATAATAAGGCATATTATGCTATGAATAGTATTTTGATAATTAGCTTTAAGTATAAAATCAATTGCATATAAATTTATATTATATTTTATTCATTGCCAAATTTAATATGTCTCTTTTTGTGCTTATTGTAAGGATGAAATTGGCAAAGAATTTAGAATTAATAAAATTAATTAAACAGAAAGACTCGTCTGTATTTTATATCAATACTTTCTTTTAGAGCTTTTTTTATTTACATCACGTAGTTAGAACAGAGAGGTTTTAACTATTAAATTGCGAACAGACATTTTAATGGCTGTGACGAATGTTTGCTTTCCTCTTATCATTGAATTGTAAAAAATATGAGCGTAAATAACGACCCGGATACACAAATCATTATACATAAAAATATCTATAAACTTTTTCGTTGACGTAAACTCTATAAAATGTTATAATTTAATCAACAAATTAGCATTGTGACGTCAATCTAATGTATCTGGAATATTTACCAATTTCAGCTGCCGTCTCCATGAGCTTATCATAGGAACGGCTGACTAGAACTATATCACAGCCACGGGATGCAAGCTGCAATGAAATGGTTACTTAAATAAATTTTATTAACGGATAAAGTGACGCATATAATCATATGCCAAAAAAATCCTACAAACATTTTCCCTACTGTTTATCGTAGCAAGAAACATTTCAAGGAAACGTTTTAACATATTCAAAACCGCATTGAAATCTGCCGATCCGTTTGAGAGATACATACGTTACAGACGCAGTCACACACACATACATATTTACATATACGTCGACGTCAAACGTAACTAACACTTCTTTAAGCGTCTAAAGGTTAAAATCGCCCTTAAAGAATATTTTGAGTCCGTTGAGAAACAAAAGCCTGTATTGAAAATATCCTCAGCATCTATATAATTGTAAATAATAATATTGGCTATGATTTAATTTTTATCGAACTGTTTTACATCGTAATTGATAATAATAATAATAATAATAATAATAATAATAATATTTATTTGCTAAGAATGCAGGTACAGAATAAAGGTGTATATAATAGAATCTAGTATAAGTTCCAGTACATTCTACCTTAAGGCATGCAAATGTTAGGCTCAAATTATAAATTCAAATTAACCATTAAATTAAAATTAGAAATTAAATAACAATGCAAATATTAGACTTAAATTATAAATTAAAATTAAACAATGCAATTAAAATTATAATTATAAATTCATATTAATCAAAATTAACAACGAAAGATGGATACATGATTGAGTTATACATATATAGATACATTTTTTATTCATTAATTTATTACAATGTTATGTTTCGTCCATTAGGTAATCATTTATTGAGTAATAACATTTGTTGACTAGAAGGGAAAACAATAGTTTTTTAAATTTTACACTAGTTAATTCTTTTATTTCGTTCGGTAATTTATTGTATAGTATATGATAACAGTTGAATTCAGATATTTATTGACAGCTATCATAGAATGGTATGATGAATGTTTTCACCACTTTACATATTAAATTGTGTAAAAATGTTTCAATTTAAAATCGCTTTTCAATGCTGTAATGAAATAAAATGTCAGTGTTGAAAACTCCTCTGTCAGAATACAGAATCAAATTAGTGGTGATTTTCCAATCTTTTACAGATGTCAAGGCATAGAATCATGAAGAATCACTTTTATTTTAAGTGAAAGTTAAATTATTTCTAATAAAGAAATCATAATATTATATAGACAAAGACATAAAATTTATAGATTTCACGACACGTAATTACTAACAACAGAAAAAAAATGCTATAAAATTCCAGATTGTTAATCATTCATAAAATTCAATTTAAATTGATAACTTAAAACGACACAAGACAAGTAAGAATCACATAGAAAATTAACACATCTTTTTGTTAATAATCTCCGTTGAGTCAGACAACTTTAGTTTACCAATTCATCTATTCAAAAACAACCTACCTTCTGATCATAGCAATATATTTTCCCAACTATAATAACTATCCCCATATAGACCTAAAGTAATATTTCCACATCAGCGCCGAAACATCTCGAATATTTTTATAATATCAATGATTTAATTCTTGTATCATATTTCTAAAAGTATGTAAAGCGTGCACTGCAATCCTTTATTCCTTTGAATCTCGGATCTCTAGTCGATTTACTACGGTATACATTCGAAATGTTTGAGCTTCAGCATGCAGATTCAGAAAATATTTTCTTCAATGTAAATCTTATGAACGTAGAACTAAATAATATTATAAATATATGGTACTACTAAAATGAGAAAATAAATAGAATTAAAATGTGTTACTAACCTCCCTGGCATAGGCTTTGCCAATTCCATCGGTGCTGCCGGTGACTACTGCAACAATGGAATAAATTCGTTAAATATAATACATAACATACAGATATCAACATCAAAATATATACAATGTACTAAGAAAGTTGATACTAAATAAATAAGATCATTAAGGATTTGAATCGTTCGAAAGAGCCAAAATAAAAATGATGTTAAAAGTTAGAAAAATTAATAAGACATTTGTTTATAATAATAGCATACTGGTTATGATGAATTCAGGATGCAAATCAAGGAATTGAATTGAGAATAACAAACATTTCAATAAATAAAATTAAGCGAAAGTAATACTGCTTGGAGCGTAAAAAAACAACTTTCTCTTGATCTGTAACAAAAATACTTTTGACGTATGTATTTTAAAGGTGAATATTGAGAATTCAATGTTAGCATATAGTTTATTTATTTATATCAAATAATTCTATGAATTCTAAACTACGTTTCTGCACGGAATTGAAAGGAAATGGTATGGAATATTAGTTTTAGATAGTTCTGCGATGTTCTACAAAGTATGTCTAGTGTAAAATCATTACCTCAGCGTTTTGCTGACAGCACTATACAAAAAAAAAAACTATGAAATCTTAATTCAAAAACGCCTGCACTCTTATTGAATTAAGCATTCAATTTAAATAACTTCATTAAAATTCCATTTTCAAATTCAACATGGATAGGAGCATAATCATATATTCGGATAAAGCTAAGTCACCAATTTACTACGGAATCTGCATAATTTGCCATTGATAACGGGTACGTTATGATATCGTGTCTAGAATTATGTGGCGAATTACAAGGATGGAAATTAATTCATTTGTTTTTTTTTTGATAGCCAGCTTGTCGGTATTAATGTATTTGCCAATATAAAAAATGAAACAGCTTGTACAATCATACACGTATTCAGGTTTCGAGCGAGCATGATACAAAAAAAATATTTAATTCCGACTAAGCCTCGGACGCAACAAAGTCTCCTCTGTCCGAAACGAAATACTATATAAAATCCATTACTGCCAATTTATTGAAAACCGATATGTAATATGAAAAAATAATTCTATTTCAAACAAATTTTATATAGCAAAAAGTAAAAATATTGCTCGTGTAATTTAAAAATATGCATAGAATATTATATCTTTATTAAAGTGAACAAATATGTATTTTTATGTTTTTCGTGTTATAAAGTTCAACAGTATTTTTTATTGTAATAACATAATCCTGTCTGTCAAAAAAAATTGAAGGTTATTTGTATATAATTTTGATTAAAATTTTGATAAATCACACATCAAGGTTAAATTAATTTGACTTCCTGATTCATATAACTCGGTATAAACACTCATCAATAAACTTAACCAAATATTTCAATAAGCATTGTACAGTGGGTAACGTGTATACAATCATTGACAATATTAATTAACCAATACAAATGAATTCAATATTTATTTAAACAACATCATACGAACGAATTATTTCATGTATGTACATAGCAGTATTTTGAATTTATTCCCTTTCGTCCCTTAAATTTTATATATATTATATAATTTTGAAATAATTTTTGCTTTGACGTTCTGTTGGTCATTGTACATAATTTTAAAAAAATGTATCAATATAATTTCAGAATTAACGTAGATAATTCTTAGGATTGTTCAATATAGTTGATGACTTATAGGAAATTATTACAATATATTCACAAAAACATAACTTTTTTATACTGATGATCTAACTTTTCGTAAACAAACTAAAATAGAAATCTTAGTGAGATTATTTAATCTCAGTCGAATAAAGGCCAATATATCATAAATACGGAAATATTATGCTAATACAATGTTTATGATTTTTTTTCACAAAGTAAAACTTTCTTCTCGATTCATTGGTTTATTGTGTAAACATAAAACGGCCTTGTTTGTAAGGTCTTAGGCGCTCAATTTCCTTGAACTTGTAACTCAGTGAAAGTCACGTTTCTATACAGGTTTTCGAGGTGAGATCATATTCAGCTTATATGAATTTCGACTCTATCCTTTTACAGCTTAGGATTATTTTATTAAATCTAGTTTAAATTTCAATCATCAAACCGGTTATTCATATTTTAATAACACTTTTGCATTAGTAACGATATTTGTTTTATCTTCACGTTTTTTCTTAAGGAAGATATTTGGTATATATTTAAATATTTTATCAAAGTCAGTTTTATATATATTTTACACTATAGTGCTGTAAAAAATCATATGATATATAATCTTATAATAACACATTTAAAATATTGAGTCATATAAATTACATAAAAGTGATGCCGTAACAGACTTTTAAGCTGGTTTTGTTTTTTTGGAACAAAATAAAAAGCAGACCATTTAATAATGTAATCGAGGTTTATTAAAATCGTAAAAAAATATTATATAAAATCCTGTCACTAAATGCATATATTAACTCTTTTAGTCCGATCGAAGTATATGTATACTCGTAATAAACTAAATAGAAAGTAAAAAAAATATATACTAATTCTTAAAAGGTCATAAGCACTACACTTTTTTTTACTATAGGACTTGACAAAAATATTTAACTATACAAAATTTATAAGCGTATGACTTGAGCTAAAATAAAGCCAGATAACCACATGCTTGGGTAAAAACAGTGTTTTGGACTAATAAAATTTGGTTAACATTTTTTTTTAATCTCAAAGGAATTTAATGTGTATATATAACACTAAACACATTAGCGTCCTAATATCGCACTTAAAACGTAAACACAGGATTAAGAGTTTACATAATGAAATTTCTTAAATTCCAACCTCGGTGTTATAACAGCTTAAGTAATTTAGAGGTATTTTAATGGAGGCATTAACACGTGAAATGTCCAAGATAAATAATAATTACTTTATAATAAAAATCATCATTACTAAATGAGAATATATGAAGAAAGGGTACAATTATTAAACTCAGTTAAAATATATAAGAAATAAGATACGATTGAGATTCTAAAACAAATTTATTTTTGATAACTTTTAAGTATTTTATAGGAAATTTCGAACGAGAAGATTTCCCGACAGATATTAAGTGTGTACAATCGCTCATGTAAACCCACATGAACATGCTGACGTAGAATAATACGATATTAGAAAACAAACTATACATAAAATACATACAAAGCATATCCTCGGGTATAATATTATGTTTCCCATTAGTTTTAACACTCCAGAGACTGTTAATTCATTATTCGGAACCGTTTTATGCTTAGCCAGAAATATATTCAGATAATACAACACATGTTTTGTCTAAATAATCTTGAAAATGTCAACATTTATGCACAAAGCCACCAATGGGCTTAGTCGGAATACTAATCGTCAAAAAGCTTCCCAACTGCATGATCCCCTGGGCAGCTTCGATAGAAATGCTCTATGCCTTTGTGGCATTTATCTCGTTTCTCGTTCACTAGCCACTCGAAGCGATCTGCGATGTTTATAAATTTCGAAGAGTTTAAATTTAAACTTTGATATAGTTTTTGTTTTCCTTATTTATGATTTTATGTTTATGGAATAAAACGTTTTTGGGGTAGTGATTTCAAATATTCAACCAAAATTTTAATTATAATACACCAAAAATGTATTTAACTTTGAAAGCCTTCTTACGAAGATTTTCATTTCGCAGACAAGCCACTTTATATTCCATTATTACATATTTATAATCTCTCAAAAAGAAAAAAAACACATAGCAGTAATAATTCAGTACTTCATTAAATCAAATAATAATATTATAACGTAGAAGCATTTATTTATTTTAATTAAACATGTAACTTTTACAAGCAACTTCTCATAGCTTTTACACCACATATTTATGAGAAAATACAACAAAGTGCGTAAGTTTAGATAACTCTTGAGGATAAAACATCTTCAACTCCACTATGAACACTCTCGGAGCGAAGATAAAAGTTAAATTGAACTACAAATGTTTCCCAACAGGGATATTATTAAATAAAATATTATTATGATAAAAAATTATAGTGTTATGTTACAATACCTACTCAATTTATTTTATATTTATTTTAAAACTGTTATAATAAGTTGGAAGATTAAATGTGTGTAACAAAATCCTATATATTGGTAATTAATGTTATTATTTTTGGATTTGATTTTTGATATATAAATTGTGTAATGATAGTTTCAATTGCAATATTTAAACACTGTTTTAATTATCTTCCCTTCTGATATTAATATATATACGAAATGTATGAGTTATAATATTGTTTATATATATGTTACATATAAATAACTCTTTTTTTATCTGATCACAATATAACTTGAGTAGGTTTAATATTAAAAGAAAATCGAGATAATTGCTCAGAAACTTTAATAAAACCTAATGACTACTTTTATTAAAAACTTCATAAAGTACTATTTGCTGAGTACTTTGGAAAAGCTGTCAGTGATTTAGTAAAAGTAGTTCGGACAGTTTATATAACAAAGATAGCATAATAATTATGGAGTAACACAATAAGTTAATATGTTCTCTTGGTTAGAATGAAGGATTACACAATAGTAATGGTCAGCATCAATAATGAATTATGACCCTTAACTAGGCTGCCCTTCGGAATAACAACTTTGACAGAACGTCTGTCGGATCTAAGTCTTTAATAAATACAAAATGTACTCAAATAATTATTTACAGTATTATACTTTATTATCATAGCAATGAAGACTACTATCTAGATTTTATGCAATGACTTCTAATAAAATATATTTTCGGAAGCCTTATCTTCTTTATTTACTATTGCTTATTTATCATATTAATCCTGATTTATTATACCAACGGAATTTGCATATGCGAAATGCGGAAACAACTTAACATAAAAAAAGGAAGCGCAGAAATATACGCATAATTTATTATTAATTTTTAAATGTAACTACTAAACTGAAGGATATCTGGACATTAAGCCTTACGGAAGTAATATAAATTTTTCCCAATATTTATTTTAATTTATGTATCTGTCCTTTTGTACTGTACCTTGAAGCTATATAAGTAATAAAGTTTATATACATATATAAAATATACCAAATAACAAAAGTCATACTTCAATATGTTAAACGTACTACGTATAAAAACGTATAAATTATAAGTCTATAATGACATGTTTATGATTTTATTTAAAAAATATATAAGTCTGAACTTTGAGTTCTTTTCGTGGCTATTAATCTTTAGTAAGTACCAAAAATATATTTACAACAATAACATTAAAATTTATAGGCCTATGGAATGTGAACTGTTCGAAGATAAAGTATGAATTAATTTTTTCTAGTATTCTATAAACTATGTTATTCCATAAATATGAACCAGTTTCTTTACAAGTCCATATCTGACAAGGCGATTGGAGTAAGGTCGTCCAATCTCGCATTACCATTTTACACTGAATTCAAGGTAATTTTGGATTATAGGAAGTACAATTTATAATGTCTCGGTTGGATCTTTCATTTTTATGCTAATTGTCGCCTATATTATTTTCTTAATCAGTTCGTATTTTTTTACAATAATCTTAAATGGTATATTTAATTTCAAATGTACATACATTTATACAGACATGCTTATATCAAAAACATTATTATCAAAACTATTTTTTGTTGCCTGTTTGTTTTGACTTATACACGGAACAGCTGAAAAGACATTGATGAAACTTTTATCGGAAAACAACCATCATTAAAAAGAAAAATAAGAAAAAGTCGCCAAAAAAACAAGACCAATTCCATAAGCCATAATGGATTATTCCCTACTTTGTGCCAAAACTCTATACTTCCTTTTACTGTAAATTTTTTGTTTGTAGTTTTTATTCTGTTATTATAAATGATTATTATTCCGAGAAATAACATGAAAAACGGTAATTATTGATTAATGTGTATGTATAAGTTGCTAACATCATATACCATACCACAATACTTTTGCCAGAAGAAGGTAGAGCAAATAATTTACCATCTTTGGACTGTCATTGTTTAGTTATGATTCTTATGGGATTTAGTATAAGGTTAAGTATATAAAAGAAGTCTCTTTAATTTAGGTGAAATAACTGAATAAAAAATAGTATTATATCGTGTTTTAAAGAAAATTCCAAAACTAAATTTACTATTACCAGTCTCTATTAAAGTCACAACAATGGCAAAATATTTCAAACCATCTAAAATAAATACAAATATATAATATTCAGATCAATATTATTGGCTTTTACAAGCATTTCCATTGAGATAAGTTAAATCCTAAATCTATAGATAATTGAGTCTCAAACAAACTTCACAGCCATATTCCTGAAATTTGCAATAGAAAATTTGATACAATTTAGTCTATTCTAAATGGAGTATCAGACCATAGTTTATCTTTGAGGGCAATTGATTATCTTCTGAAGTTCCCAAACTCATAATATCCTTGAAGTCTTTAAACAGTGGTTTTCCTAAAGTTATTATAGGTGGTAGAGAATCGCAGAGCTAAGAACTATTGTAAAGGGTTTTAAATTTAGTTTCTGGTTCCTTTTGAAATACTCTATTGTTCAATAAACCAGGAGAATTATGCTTAAATATTGAATCCTACTTTAACGAATAGATCGCAAAACGGGAATATTTTACAGGTAGCTTTCAAAAATAAGATTTTTCAGACTACGACACGCCCGGAGCTCTTACCTCAACTTTCCATATATTTGCATCATTTGCCACAAATTTGGTAACAGAAATTCTCAGACATCAAGATATATATGTAAGTCTGCATAGAATCACTTCTAGCCACTCAAAACTTTCTTTTCCCGATATCTTTGAGCATAAATTAATATTTAGACAAATTTCAGATACTGTGTCAAAAGCTGTTCCACTAACTTAATCTTAACAGTTTTTCAGGAACATATTTTGTAGTTTTTGCATTTAAACTTCCCTTTGCCAATATGAATAACCAGGATTGGCCCTATTTAGGTGTATAAACTGATGATTCAGGCTTGCAGTTAAGGGGAAATAGAAAAAATCATATCAAATCAAAATTAAATCAAAACCCTAACCTATATTAACCACTTATATTGCACTTTAAGGAGATAAGTTCTATATAATAAGTAAAACATATCTAAACCATTGACTTTTCTATAACAAAATTGCATACAACACTGTTAAATTTAGTTAGAATTTTAACAAAGTGTGTAGCTACAATAAAAAAGTTCTTCATTCAATACTTGTTACATTTGACATGTGGACATTTTGTTACAATGAATAAAAACATCAATTACCACTAATTCTTTGTTCGATATAAAGGAACAATTAAAACTTCTACTTGCACCTAATCAAAGACCCAATGATTTAACTATACTAAAACTTAACAATCAAGGGTTTATCCTGATATTTTCAGTACCACATTTGTTTTAAATCTGATTTAAGTTCATATATCCTTGCTACTTAATCAGGATCAATTTTTTTTAGATTTTGGGAAATAACTAATATTGAGAATTAATATTGTTATTGAGATTTCAAGCAAAATTTCTTTTAATCATGACAACATCAACTGTGCGATTTGCATTTCAATCATTGTTTTTAGGATGGGTAGTCGGAGCTTAATACATCCAAAATATATGCCTCTTGGCAGTGGTCGGTAGTATCACTCTCAATAATAGCTGGATGAATGACAAATGTAACAACTTTAAAAAAATATGATTTTATAGAATCTAAGCAATTTGTAACAAAAACGGATTGAATATGTCTACAAATAAATAATAATATATTGTAACTTCATCTTCAATATACAACGGCATTACAAATTTCCTTACAACCCAATAACAAACCATATTTCTTTGAAATTGAGTGTTAAAGAAGTTTTTAATATTGTATTTACAATTTCCAAATTTTTGTTTAGTTTTGCATGTTGCTGTTATTTTTGTATTGTATTATTTATGAAAACCAGCTTCGGTGATATGACCGTTACAACAAAATAAAGTTTTTTTGATGTAGAAAACCAAAATAATGAAATGTAGACCTGGTTATTGATTGATACTGTAATACTTGTCTTATTTACTATTTATCTTCATTTACTGTGACCCGGGCACAAACTATTGAGGTATGGTAGATTATACATATATGACGGAATGTATATTTAGATACACTCAAAATCATAATTTCTTTACTTCTTCATATTTATAGTTTTATCGTGTAAATATAAAAATTAAAAATATAATTTGGTTTGTCTTAAATTATTTTACAAAGAAATAGTAAGCAAGTGGTATACTATGTAAATCAACACTTCTGTTTTACACTTTGCCCCCTTTGCGTTTAAATATTCTGTTGGACATTAATGTTTATTCAGAATATATAATACAATTGTTTTAAACGGAGGGATAACCATTCGCGGGATACTTGGATGAACAAATAGGACAATTGAAATTTCTGTGCTTCAATTACATACAAGATTTCATCAATACTTTTGTACATTTTCGCAAGTCAAAGACACTGGTTTTCAATTAAACTTTCGCAATTGTGTATAACATTAGTGGGATAATATCATATGAAAATCGTCCCTAGAAAAGTCGCGAGCAATAGCATATGCCAAAGATATATGTAACTAATATAAACAATATAATATTAAGATATTTTCTTTGCAGTATCAAACCAAATAATAAGATTTGTCTTGTTCATGTCTGTCAAAAAATCTCATTTTTTGTATCGTAACCAAAATTGCCAAGCAAAAATATTATCAAACCTTATGACAGTAAGACATATATTTAAATGCGCATCGAAATCATACAAGTTTTTATAGGCTTTTAACACCTATTGGAAACATACGAACAAGAGTTAATTCTTCAATACAAACATGATGTATTATTAGTTTTTTGTTTCCAAGGTTATCGATATCGAATACCAAAAGTAAAGTTCCACTGAATAATAAGTAAAAAACTTTTATTACGTCGCTTCATAACAATGTCTAATAAGAATGTAACCACATCCGTATGTAATACTTAAAGAACGCTGAAATGATTGAATTAAAAATATGAAGGAGCAATAAAATTCCTGATACTTTTTTTGTGATTTTTAACGAAAATCTCTTGTTTTTATAACGTATAAGAAGTATGTACGTGACGGTTACCTTAAATTTACCTTCATTGAAATTCATCAGAGAATCAAATATCATTGATATAAAAATGTAAATTAATATCGTTTACGTCATAGAAGCATACAAAAATAATTTCTATTCATCGAAAATACGGCAATGTTAATATAATAAAATGTATTTATGTTCAAAATATTTATGTTCAAAAGACATTTGAGGATAATAATTTCATATGTTTCTTTAAAAAAATGTTTTTTTTTTCACAGTAAAACAAACTTCATTTGCATCAAATGAAAATGTTGTGGAATTGATAAGGGTAACCTAGAATGAACTAGGTGATGACCTATGATATATCACATTAACATTGGAATAATTGAATACAGGTTGGATAAATGAGAGTATCGCATGAAAAAAATATGAAGCACAAAAAAAATTCATATAGACCTAGACAACAAAGAAGCCGTCAGTTATTGATTATTGTCGGTAAACTGAACTGAATTTTTGTACACAATTAACAAAAAAGATAACATTCCTACTCGTCATTAGTATTAAACAGGTACTTGCTAAGTACTAAAACATGATTTGTGGTATAATTATCTAACATATTATACAAAATAGCCTCATTCAAGAAATATTACAAATTATTGAATAATTATTATTTCATATTCAATTGACTATTTGTCGTAATGAAAAAATATCTTTTATATATTATATGCCTAATGATTTGGAACAACATTCATATATTCTAAATTATTAGAAATATACAAAAGGCTACTTACATGCCCACCTTCCTTGAGACTTAAAGTCTACCTTATTCACCAGCGGTCCAATGATATAAGTGTAAAGCACATTGACCACACTCTTAACTACATAATAGAGCAAAGCAATTAGGAAAACAATACCGAATTTTTCTAAATACCCAAATTGAGCCATTTTTAACACTCAGTACCACAAAAGTAAGGTTATATATGGAGAGAGCATTCACCGATCTTTCGTCGGCACAATTCACGCATGCGCACTGACGACCGAAGAAAGTGAGATCGCGCATAGAATGGACCGAACGGAACGAATGTCTGTAATAACATCGGATAACTTCCCGTTTTTGAAGTAAGCAACAATATATCACCGTCTCACTTCAATGTCTGATAGGGGGCAAACGGGACAAGTGGTGCAGTTTATCAAGATTAATAATAATATTACATACGATACGTTTTTATAAATACATCTCGTATTCATCGGTTTTTTCCTTACCTAAGTTTTATATTATGCAGCAATTAAAGTTGTTTGTTGAATATACAAATAATTTTTTCATTGAACATAATTATAGCTGTAAATGAGATCAATACACATAATGAATATAAATATATGGCGTAATATTTTCTTATTTCAAGTTATCATAATTTAAATTATATACATATACATATATTATGGAAAAAATTAATTTTACCATCACATATTTTAAAACCACTTCATATAAAAAGCAATATGCTTGTAATGTTCTTGCTTGACTCTAACTTCATAGTAAATAAATTAGTTCTCAACTCTCGTGATAATTTTCATTGTAATAAGTTATCGTGTTTCAGAAGCCTTAAGACTAAATACATAGTTATAAGAGTTAGCGTTTACAAAAGATTCTGTGCTTAAACAACATGCTTATCACTATTAACCAAAATTGTATATTTTTTGTAATACCTATTTAATAGAAAATTGCGAATAAAAACGATTCAGATCTGTTTGGTCAATGTGGAATTATTAATTTTATTGATATAGATTTATTTCTCGGAATTCATCTAATCTACATATATGCGTTTTAAACATACTTATATTAAAAATTTTATGTATATTTTTTATTATTTATTAAATATAAATCAATGTGAACAACACCTTAGATATAAATCTTATCTCCACTTTCCTTATTTTCCTCTAGAATTACTACACTTTCTTATGCCTTTTTAATAAGTACTTATTTCAAATATTTCTTTCATAATATCATAGGTACACAGGATTTTTTAAATCCACGCCAGCTTCCGCAACGTGAACCTAATCTTATACGGAAATTTTAATTAGCTTCAAAAGTTAACACTCGAATAACATCACATTTTCAATTTATCCTTCGGAGAGGATTTTATGAAATTCTTAACAGCATGTTAAAGGAATTTTCGAAATTTTTGATGACATAAAATTATTTAGTTTGTTGTAGTTTATTACACAAACACAAACTAGAATACCTACAAAAACATGTAACAGCCTTTTCGATAAGAATTTTATTTTAAAATTATATTTATTTTACTTAATTATTTTATATCTAATACATATAAACTCGTAAATATGTATTATATCATATTTGTATTTATTTAATATATACGAATTTAATTAAGTGAAGAACTAGTCATTAAGATATATGTATTAATCAATAATTTCAATATTCATGACATAATATTTTGGTAAATTTTTACATTAAACGTTTCTGCCGAGCGCACACATTTCTCTAACTTTTGTGACGTACATAATAATATTGAGAGGAGGGCCCTTGGAAAAATTCGCCTCATGAATTTTAAATGGTTTTTTTCCCTCGACTTTTCACCTGTAGGAATAATCCTAGTCTCGACGGAATTAAAGGGATATTTTTTTTTACCAAATTTCTCGTTTGGCACTGATTGAAATCGAAATTCACGTATGAATTTCCATTCGTCTTTTCAATTACTCGGCGAGTTGTTATCGCTTATTGTTTAATAGTTTTTTCGTTATAACCGTTTATAATTTAGGTATTTTCTATTAAATTGAAGGAAGCCCAAGAAATTATTAGCAGAAAATTATTATCAAGTAGGTATATGGTGTCCCATTCGACGCTAACTCGTACAATCAACTATAAATAATAAGTTATCCTTATCATGGCAGAAGTAGTTCAAAATTCAATTTTCAGTTAAATCAAGAGAAAGTAGCCCTAAGTAAATTAATTTCCTATAAGCTCTAGCGTCAAAATAACTTACAAACTTCAGAAACTGTTTTAATTAAAGCACATTGTGGTTGAGGCAGATAAAACAGAAATCGTAAATATATATATTTTTTTCTTAACAAGTATCCCTTTAATGTTATATTTAATATACAAAAAACAGTGTACCTACCTTACCTGGACTTGTATTAATAGTTTAATAATAATAATTCACACAGATAATACCTAAATATGTATTTATGTAGTTATTATACAAGTTTAATTATTTAAATAATTTTAATTTTTACGGTATGTATATCGTGGCTTATGTTAATAATATAAATAAAACTGATGAAAATATTTAATTATAATTTAAAATTATATTCTGAATGATTTTAATTTTATCTTTAATGATAAAACGTTCAGAAGAATGGTTGAACGGTAATTTGTTAACGCCGTTGTTACCAGCTTAGCATGTATAAAGGACTTTAAGTTTCTAACACTTAACTGACAGACGCTAATGAAGGCTCGAGCTGAGACAATTCCTAATGTTCATAAAGTATGAATGATGACATTCATTTATTAGACATTACAAAGAAGTACGTGATCATTGACGAATGACGAGACATTTCAAATAAGTCTATTCGTTTTTTTATATATATCTTTGATATATATTGCGTTGTTAACATGATCTTTGACAGCGATATTTTTCATATAAAATATATGTTTAAAGTTTGGATAAAATTAATAAGTTAAGCTGATACTGTCTGTTTCATAAAAACTTTTGTGATGATAAACTCGTAAAAAAAGTAATACGTCTCTTCTTCATTCAGACTGTAGTAAATTTTAAGGGTTTAGTGTAGTCCGTATAAGTTTATAACAGAAATCGATTTTTTTTTAATAGAATTCATCCAACTATTCCCTCGGTCTCAGAACAATCGAAACGCCTAAGGTTGGTTATATCAGTATTGTAATATATTCAAAATGGCCGCTGTGCCAAGATGTCAAATTACCTTTTTCTCTTCAATGTTACAATGATATTAATATTTTTTTGTATAAAATGTGGTTGGTGACGATGATTCGATTTTTAAATTATATAAGTAAAAAGTACGCAATACTTGTTTTTTTTAAACAAGATTTTTTTCTTTATAGAAGATTAGTTTTAAATGATTTGTTATAAAAAGTTAGCTAGTATGTTTAGTTACTTTTTCAAAAATTCAGAACAGTCTGTTAGGCGAGTAATGTGTATCGTTACATATATTTAGTCACACTATAAGTCTGAAGAGTTTGCAATTGTCCATTATTAATTTTGTTACCGTCATTATATCTATCTGGGTTTAAAAATGAACGATTTCTGATCGATAATTCATACTTGTGAGGAGTTATTGATATATCAACATCCGAACGACATCTTACCACTTTCCTTCAGTCATTTCAAAGTATTTATTTGAAATAATTTAATATTCGAAATTTAAAAAGTTACTCAGGATTTTTTACTTTATATTAATGAAGAAAAATTTACATTTTCCCTTTATTTTGTTACAACTTTTACACACAAGGTGTATAATTAAAATTCCATTAGAATTTGTTCAATTTCTCTAATAATATTTCTCAATAGTTTCATGTGCATCCAATAACTGCGTATGAAAGTTCAATGAGCAGGTCACGTCGAGTAATCGGTTGCAAATTGAATATTATGCATGAATTGAAAACCTGAACGGACTTTACGGACCTGTCGACACTTCATCCCCTTGTAATATGTAACGGTAGAGTAAAAATCATTTTTATATATTATATTGTTAAATTTTAATTTTGTATTAAATAAATCTGATATCGCCGAACACTCGATACTTTGACATAATTAATTCATTGTTTTAACTTCATTAGCGCAATGACATTGATTGACATTTTGTGACAGTACATATTTTGACGTATTATAATACGTGTCACAATGACGCTAGTGTAAGTAAAGTTAATCTATTTATATAAAAGAAAGTCTTATAACTCAAGAACAGCTGAACCGATTTAGCTGAAAATTGGCAGGGAGGTAGTTTAGAGCCAGGAAATTGCAATATTAGACTTTTTATCCCGTTCGACAGCATTCCCGTGTAACTTGATATGAAACGTCAGTCACTATAAAACAAAATAATCAGACCTGTAATAACAAAACGCAAATGACAGCTATATAATTGACGTATAATGACAGATATGTAATGACGTATGGATGACAATTTGATATTTGTAAGAATTCTATATATTATATAACAATTAATTGCTGTTCGTTAGTCTCACTAAAACTCGAGAGCGGCTGAACGGATTTGTCTTATCTTAGTCTTGAAATATTCGTGGAGGTTCATTTCGGGGAAAAGCTTAAAAACAGCCCTTTTCTATTTCCCATAGAAACTTTTTTTTTGACATTAGATTTGACAACTAACTAATATGTCAATCATTCTGTCGCACTTCAAAACACGGAGATTTATGGTTTAAAGGTAAACTCCAAAAATATATATATAAAAAAACGTAACATATATTTCTTGATTATAGAGCAATACGAAGTTCGCCGGGTCTTCTAGTTTTAAATAATTTAATATTCCAGTGCGAATGAGGCCATAGCATAAAAAAGTAACGTACACATTGTATAAAAAATATCGCTTCGTGCATTTGTTCTTTAATTAACTGTCATTGCGATACGAAGCGATACAAGTTGACGTGAAGTTTTCGCCTCACTTATTAATATGCTAACAATAACTGACAAAATACGAATAACTGACAAAATAAACTAACACAAAACATATAAATATTTGATATGAAAACGCAAAAAAATACGATTTTTGTTACAAAACTTTTGCTTAAAATAAAATATAATAATGAAAATCACGATCAATGTTTTGAAACAATTCCACCAAATGGATAGACAGACAGGCAGGTAGGTTATTTATACAGTTATCAATAAAAAAGTTTATAAACGAAATTCAATAATTGTACTTAATTTTGCATTTGT